ATATTGAGGACATGTTCTTGCTTTCGTCAAATCAATCGAGTTGATCGCTAGAGTTTTTACCTGACTACACTAAACGTTTCGCTCTAATATGTGTATGTGCATGTTTAATGTAGCGTTAGAAAAGCAACAGACCTTCCAGCATGGAGTGCGTCTCTCAATTAGCGTCGATGAGAACGAGGTAATTTAGCGCTATTTGTGATTGGTATTCTGGCATATTGTCGCATTATAGCCACCGTGACTACCAATAACAGTGTTATTGCGTCAAAATGAAAAAAAAAATCTTATACACACCATGTTTATACTTTCCAAAAGATTTGAGCAGAAAATTACCCGCCTGGAGTATCCTGTATGACATTATTATGCGTACATTGTTTTCATGTGTTTAACCGACTCAATTTCAACCTGACGTTAATTAATAAACACATCACAACAAATACTTCAAACAAAAAAACAAATCAGATAAACGCAAATTGTGTTTATTTTGTAGGGGAATCAATCCTCATTAAAAACAGGAAGAGTCGTTCTAACACGATAGATTTCATCGGATGATTGTAAAACAAACTGAATTTGTGTAATATGTTTCTTTGATGACTATCGCGGTGAATACTCTTCTTATTTTTTGAAAAAGTTGCAATGGCGATTCAGCTGCTGGCGAGCCACACAGTTGAATCGAAATACAATAGCAAATAAACACGCGTCTCGCAGAGGACAATGGGAAAAAGGACAGCCGACACTTTATGTAAGAGTATCGGATGAAAATTGTAGCTTGTGGCTGGGCAGGTTGTTGAGATATCATGATCTAGCCTTGCTCAGAATTGCTGTGTATAGTACTGTAAGTACATTAATTCAATAGTGTAACAATAAAGCAGTCTGTGTTAGTAGTTTCAGTATTCCTTCTTCGAGTGAACGGAGTTATTGTAAGGCAGTGGATTCCAACGACTAGCTCCAAGCAAGATAGTTGCCAAACGTGCCGCTTTTTAGCGTCAACTGACTAAGATAAGATCGCATCAATACTAGTATTGTGGATGGGACAATAGCGAGTTGGGTATCTGGTTTATATTTTGTACACACTCCCTCAAGCCAGGTCCTGACTTGTACTGTGTAAGCACCCATTGTACAAGTTGGAGGAATGAATATATATATGTGAGCAGACTCTGACCCGAGCACTGTGTTAACTTAGTCAACATTCCTGTTTTTATAATCATACCATCTCCAATCGAAAAAAAAATCTCGTCATTGTCCGTCTCACCCCCATTTTGTTCGTTTCATTTTCGGAGTATGCCCGATTATTTAAAAAACAAGTAACACGAATATAAATCTCTGCCTGCGAAGGTCTTGGTGACATCATCGTAGATTTTCCCCATTCGTTTCAAGACGCGCCGTCAGATTACGTTTGTTTTCTCACCGCTACGCTTTGTTTTGCAAACATACGGCTTACGTTTGCCGCTATAAACGGAGTTTGTTATTGGCCGGAAAATCAGCGTCCATTCATTGGATCTATTATTCTGTTGACTTTATGAATCTCTATAATTACATATACTATTACAGTCATCGGTTTTATTACTACAGTTCGTATTCTATTATAATGACAGTAATACTTGCTCATTTCATTAAACGGCGGCGCTTTATATTACAGTGAACGAAAAAAAAATCAGCAATATTGTAAGCCGGCCACGACCACACTCACTCTTTCTCCTCAACAATGTGTTATTACACACTTTTCAAATTAATTACATTTTTTCTTTCACGCTGTCAATTTTAGTCGCTAAATTAAAACGGTCATAAAATATAAATAAAAGTCTAACTAATGATAGAGGCATTGTGCCCCGAATTCGAGTGCTTATCACTTGGGTAATTAATTCAATATTATATAGCGTGATTCAAGAGTGTCGCCAATGTCTCTGCTGAACAAGGGGATGGAAATGGGACACGATTTTTAAAAGAAAGCGTAAAATTCATAGCGCCCCCTAATATCGGACAGTAGTCGCCACTCCGTTCATATCATATCCGGCGTCTGACGCTTACAACTGATCACTACCGATCGCTACTTTATTTGAAGAGTCTTTAAAATCATAATAATAAAAAAAAAAGGATGAACGTTGTCTTACATATTTCGGTGGGGAGTGAAGTGAAAAGAAAATCGATTATTTGAATGTCATGAACGGCGGGGATGTCTCTGTGCTCAGAACGAATAACATCAGTATGGATGAGAAATCTAGCGAACGCAGACAATAAAAAAACGTTTGGCCCAATAATGAAAAAATGACAGTTCGGGTTCTATGAGAAATAACAAAGGCACGCTGAATCAATACCCTGGGTTTAGGAATATTAACAACCTCGTCAACGTATTCATTGTATAGCTTTTATGCAATCATTTTCGATCGTTATCACCCTTAGAAGGAAGGGAAGGAAAGGAGAGGCTATCTAGAGCGGTCCTTCAGAACAACTGATGATTCTCATTAATAAAGCCCCCCTAATTAAATTAGATGATGCTAATGTTAATGAAGTAATTATAGTGTTAGCATGAGATAGGTTGAAAGATGAATATATGGGTTAAAGCTTAACTACCTACACAAATCACGCCATGGAATGAGACGCGCGTTGATGTTAGTTTCAAAACTGTTATTTTATGATGCGGTGGCATTTATTTATGTTTACGCCCCTCCTCCAAATACATTTCTTTTTGTCCTCTAGTCGATAACTATAGGCGATTAGTGGGTAACATTTTGACGCGAAGAGTAGACAAACAAACAAACAGGCATGAGAAGACAACAACGATAAGTTGATTAACTGACTGGGGATCAGGGCGATTTTTATCTTTGTCTCTAAGGTTCTTCGTAATCCAGGTAATTTAACGGCACGAAAATTAGCTCATGCTATAATGACAATGGAAACAGATTGAGATAAAAATAAGAATGAAGGTCAAAAGTAAATATAATTCAGCCTGCCTGAAAACCGCAACTACATGTTTACATATCAGCGCACGCCGAAGGATCTCTCCCGAAGTTGATTTAAAAAAAAAAAAGAGAAAAGGAATTTATTTTATATAACGGTAATTGTTATATAATTTAAGCATGTGATTGGTGCTGATAGTTCGGGCCAGTCTGTCAATACTCAACGAAATGGCCAATACTCTTGACGATAGACTGGCGGCGACATGCGGCTTTTGTAAAACGTACTGTTCCGGTTAACTGCCGTTCTCCATTCAACTAAAAGTATCTTAACGCACAAGTTGTTTAATTTGCGGACTAGTCTCCCTCGATGAAATCTCTTTTAACATTGTAGTAATGTTTGCTTATCCATTCGCTTCAAAATAGTGACATTATGGTGAACAACAAGTCGTACAACAGCAAACAAAAAACACACTGTTGTTCCCGTCGCTTATACACGTAAACATTGGACAATTCCGAGTGGTACGCGCTGTAAGTACAGCTTGGAAACACTCAAGTTGAATTTATACCAAAGAAAGATTGTCAGCTTCAGTGACATTAAAAATGCATATCAGTCAGTAACAGGAAGCTATACCACGGTATGTGGAGGACAATAGGGAATGGCTCATGGCAGGTTGAACAGCGTGGCCGCGAGAAACGACCGTGCATGCAGCGAAGGGCGATACAAATACCTTCAACTAATTTGTGTGACTACTGATACTAACAACTAACATGGTTATATGTCCCCGTACTACATAGACCAGTTGTTTTGCTCGCTGGTCACACTTAAAAACCCGTCTAAGGCAACAATGGTGTTATGTTGTGCTGTTACTTACGGCCATGGACCGTAACGTGACAAGTTCCTCTACAACTTTCCATTCGCTACTGTATATATTTCAAGTTATACATCAATCCATCACAGCTTGCTCGCATATTTATTTTTTTAGAGTTAGTACTTTTTCATTTTGAGTTTCGTTCATTATGTACTTAGTAATACCCGGGTTCCGAAGTTGATAACAACTGTGGCATAAATCAGGTGTCTTCGAGAAACTGTTTTGTTGGACTGTCAGTGACCCAACGCCCTCAGCTCTCTACATAACGGTCCAGATTTCGAGGGAACACTCACTGTCCGCAACGGATAAAATGAAAACGTTCAAAAGTTAACGTTAACTATGAAATGGTATCGGCCGATGGAACGGAGGGGGAATGTTGGCACACCAGTTGGGTGGTTCTCCCTATTTAATCTCCGTACACGAGATAGCTTTCTTAGTGATAGGTAATGGTAGGCGTGGACAAACCAATCCACTACAAAAGTGCCGCTAAATGATATTACTACAACGATGATATGTGAAATACGAAACACGTGCTGTACTGGCTATAATTTAGAGGAAGGAAACAAGAACTGGGTATATTGGTTGACTCGCGCGCGTCGGATCGACTGCACGACATATCTCTCAGATAACGACTAACAAGTAAAACACAGTTTTCAATCCCCTGCACCCTGTCAAGTCCTAACAACAAGACACTGCAACTGACACGCCAAAGTGCACCTAAACGCTAGAATGGGTTCCCCGCAACACTGCAACACAAAACACTACCGCTTTTCATCGCATGTAAGAAATACATTTATTTACGGTTGGATTTTGCTCCGATACAAGGACTGAGTCAGTGAGCATTAGGGCTATGTTACAGCAGTATACCCGTGCCGGGTGTCCCCCAATCCACACGCCAGTCTAGGGCGTAGAAATGAAATTGAAACCAGAACTTGTGTGCACGTGTACGAAGAAGACGTACGACTCTGTATAGTTTTCAACAACTCAAATAAATCGGTGGATACTTTTTTTCTTTATAAAAAAAAATGATTGAAAGACGAGAGAAATCGAAAGCTTATACAAAGTCGTAAATCTTCCCCTTAACCGTGACAAATTCTCACAATGAAAACAAACAAAAAATATTCCGAACACGCTAATTCAGTGTTTCACAAGAAATAGTCTTGCGGTTTTCTTTAAAAATAATTTTCACTTTGTAAGTAGAGCAATATTATCACATAACAAGTACAATAGATTGAAGTAGTCCAAATTCCATCTTCTTTTTATTGAGTTTGAACAAAGTACCTGGCTATAAAAAGGTCAAACTTGTCATCAAGACAAGGGACGGTGTAATGAAAACCGATGGGTATAACTCAACTCAACAAGTCGGTTTAAAAATAAAATTCATAGAGACAATCATAACCTCAATTTTCTATATATTATCTAAAAAAATCACAATAAAATATCCCCCTTATTTAAGCAAGTTTCATCAATATTTTGGCAAATTTGATAAAAAATATTGTTTTTGCTTTAGAATGAGTTGACATCCATGCATGATGGTTGTTATACACTGTGCGATTATCTATCGGCGGCCTCGCCTTCGCCTCAAATCTATATACATACAAAAGACATTTATAAATAAAACACTTCGTTCGTTATTACAGGTTTTTTTTCTTTACATAAAACTTACATACCATTTCAACTTTTGCTTAAAAGTCACGGGAAAAATGTCTAACAGATATAGTCGGTGGTATGAGCGATATGTGTTCAATACCTCATATCATAAGTTCAGAGTTGTTTTTTTTTTTTTTTAAAGATAGCCTACTGAGTAGAAATCTCTCTTGAAATCCGTACGCCCATATGACGGCGGGAAGAAGAAAAAAAGTAATTTACAAGACTGCACTGGGTGCCAAACTGGAAAAGAGAAAAAAAAATAACCCAATACCGCGAATGGTTTGCCATGACAAGGACATCAATAATGGTAATAATAATAAACGGCGTGAGCTTACTTAAGTAAAAAGTCGTTTCATTTCGCGTATTTTCCCAGTTTCGTCGCTTATTTAATCGGTGGAGCGGCGTTTTGAGTAGATGGTATAGTCAGGTCACCGCGATGAAAGATTCGTAAGAGCCATCGCTGCGTCGTACTCCAGTGGAATCGATTGTCCATTTATGCCAATATTAAGTCCTATCCTAGAATAAAAGACATAAATGTATATTTAATTAGTGGAGATATCATTTATACGTTCCTGATTTAAATTGCGGTTATTAAACTTTAATATGTGGTATCAGATTGAATAGTAACTACGGATTTTGGGTTAAAAAATACTATGCAAGGGATTATGGAGTGTATCAGTCAGTCAGTCATTTTGCTGACTTTTTTTACGCCCCGATTGTTGTTAAAAATACAGAGGTTATTTCTATAACACTAGTTATATACGTAAATGTGAGAGCCGCTGAGTACCAATACACGGTATGGACAGCAGTATTCGTGACAGTGTACTATTGGTGCATGTTAAACCCCCATACACGACGATAAAGGCACATGGCATCGAACTAATTTTGGTTTGCACTTTGAGTGTGTGACGAAGCATGTATGGGTAACAGATGCATACAAGCAGCGGACTTTTCGTTCTCTATCAAATTAACTTTTAAATCAAGAGACGGCATATTATTTTTTTCAATGGAAATCCGACATCAATAGCAGAACAGATCAGCCGTCAATTGTGCGAGGGCCCCAACAATCGGGAGAACGCATTAATTTAATATAAAGCAATCTTCGCTAAATAAAAGAATAAATGAATAAGACAAATATTTTGATAAAAAAAATGGACGGGTGTTTTAAATAATACTGGTGAAATCAGGGGACGTAGATTTTTTTCAGCTCTGGCTTCATAGCTAAAGTGACGTTACCTAAGACAATCAGGCGGCTTCCTGTCATAGGGGTCATAGCTTCCTGTCGTGGACATTGGCTATAAAGCTACGCTTCTCGCGCAGGCCGGGTTTTGGTGATACACAAATCTGACACTGGCACGAACTTCCCACAAAAAAAGCAATTGAAATTAGGAACAAGGAAAGTTCACTATTTACCTAAGCTTACCTCTTTGCTACCGGTTTGAAGGCTGTTCTAATGGGTTCGTCGCTATCATTTGGATGCACCACTGATTTCTCCCTCAAGTCATCTAAAAAAACCACAACAAAATTATCACAATAATTAGACATGTGAAACCTCGCTTTTTTTCTTCTCAAAGTAAAATTAAAACTCAACAAGCGGAACGAGATAAGAATTCTCCGCATTTATTTTATTTCGTTAGTATCTTCCAAATTTGCGTGGAAAGTTAGCAGCGTGTTTTCTCTAATGTGGTACCCTACGTATACGTAGTCAAATACATTTGGGTCAACGGTAATTATAAAACACGTTATACTGGATGTACGTAATGGTTTCCATGATGTAATTATCAGAAATAGCGTATTTACACATACCATCTCGACTTGGATGCAAAGCAGCAACACTGTATTTGGCAGCTTCCGCACTGTTATGGGCAATCATGGCCAAGTCCCGGCACGGTCCACCAGGGGGCAAATGGTCACCGTTCATGTTACTTGATCCGGGTGGCGATCGTAACGCCGAATGTTCATTTCCAAGTAATGAATTTTGCGCCGTGTACGATAACACTGACGTTGCCGCAGAAGTCCTACTCGTCGAACTGTACGTTAAATGTGATTGTTGATGGTGGTGATGATGGTGGTGATGGAACACCCCGTCTACCCAGTGTTGAAGAGAACTCACATTGGGTTCCGTGTTCAAATGGGGTTGATGGAAGGTACTGGCTGAAGGTTGGTGACACAATAACGGAGACCTTCGCGACATTTCTGGACTAGTTGGACTTGACGATGTACCTGCTAACGATGCTAGTGACCAAATTTTTGGCTTAATCGTTGGCGGTTGCGGCGGTTGCTGTTGTTGCGAAGTTGTTGAGGTAGCTGGAGTAAGCAAACTACTGTTTGTGCCAATGTTCTGTGACAATAACGGTGAGGGGGACAAACTTAGCGAATCTTCGTTAGCCGACGAATGCCTGGTTTCAGCCTTTCCTCCCAGATGATCTTGGTCCTCATCATCGCTGTTATCTTTATCATCAATTTCTTTATCAGTATCTATATTTAATGCAATCAAATGGGTTTTTGTTAGATCAACAGGAAAGAGCAATTTTGCATCAAAGTGATTCTCTCATTAAAAATTTAAAAAGACGCAAGTAAATGTTATTGATGTGTAAGATTGCCAAACTGAGCCTATCACATTTCACTCTACAATCACTCAATGCACTAACATCATTTTAAAATATATACATATATATAGTTTTTATTTATTTTTTAATCCCCTACTTCCAAAAATAACCGCAAGTGGATTTCCGGAGAAAAAACAACAACACCCGTGCTATAGATAAACGAGTCGATGATTTGCAGAAAATAATGTAACTATATGTTTTGTTTGCCGACACGGCAGGAGGAAAACCGGATAAAAATGAAACGACAATAAACGATGAATCGATCGCCACCCCAACTGCACTTTAATAGCATGCGAAATCATAAGTTGAGAATAAATGAAAGTGGGGATAATTGTTTTGGTTCTATATGGTATACTGGGAGAACGCTATAAGTATAGTTAGCAATCTCCACGGGACGTTAATGAGCGCCATAATGAGCTAAGTACTTGGCTTCATAAACTACTCACCTAGCCCATCGAACCTGTCTGAGAGGATTTCATCGTCATCTTTAATATCGATTTTATCATCGTCGTTTTCATTGTCGCCGTCTTCGTCGCCAGAATCGTATTTTCTATCGTCCCCACATCGGTTTCTCGGCGACCAAGTCATTTTGTTCTCTTTTTTAAGACGTCGTCTAGCGTTCGCAAACCACGTGGACACTTGCGTTAAGGTCATTTTCGTGATGATAGCCAGCATTATTTTTTCTCCTTTCGTTGGGTATGGGTTTTTTCGATGTTCGTACAGCCAGGCTTTTAGAGTGCTTGTTGTTTCGCGGGTGGCGTTTTTCCTCCTAGCAGCACCGTTAATGTCCACGCCGCCATACCTAAAACAGAAACGGTTTCATTATTAATTATTTAATTTAAAGTTACATTGAATTATAACAAGTACACTTATGATTTCACGTAACAACATTAGTCTCTACAGATTTCACATCAATAAGTACTAAAGCACCATTTATAAGACCCTCCAAATCAACAATAGCCCAGGAAATCGGAGTCGGTAAAACTATTCGCTGAATGTCATATACTACGCACCTATCCCCGTAGTATTGGTAAGCTGGATCGTATGGGTAACAAGCGGTGGGTTGGTATGGTGTAGCGCTCCAGCCTCCTTCGGCGCTGCCTTTTAGATCGTACGTGGTGTTCTGAAATTAAATCACAAATAAGAAAATGGATGAGAAACGTGTCGATGGATATAATTCGCCGAAAACATTGACGAGTTTGGTTTTTTCAGCAAGATTTGATAATTTTAAGCTTGAGTGCTTTGAAGTTTACCATGCGCAATGGGTGTAAGTGGTTTCGCGAGCCAGACAGACTGACAACCCCGATGTGCATAGTATCAGCTGCCGGTCCACAAACACAAACTTTTTTGTCCATTTAACGGCAAGCATTCAAAAAAAAGTACGATAATATTCGCTTTTCAAACCTCGCTGCTTGGTATCTAGCTCTATTCTTTGAATACTATATACACATAGATCGAACATTTGAAATAAACACAGTCGCCGAGTGATGATAGTTTGTGTGTGCTAGTTTTCTGTTTATCGGTGGTATGAACAAAAATGCTCGCAGTTAAAAACAAGTACAGAAATCACCAGCTACAAATACATACCAATGGTGAGTAAAAGGCTGACGGATCTGTGCCAAATGTTGGTACATAGCCTTGTTCGGCTGTGTAGCTTGAACCGTACATTAGCGGTAGGCCGGCTACTCTTGAGTGCATGATCGCAGCGCGACTGGCATCGTATTGACAAGAACACACAGTCTGTCCGGTGTGCGGGTCGGTCATAATCGGACGTCCACTCTCGCAGCACGATGTACCGCTGTGACTCACGCTTGACATGAGTATCTACAAAGAAAATTGCATCGGTTTAAGATAACAGAGTAAAACGTAAGCAGGAGTGGGAGAAATTAACGGCTAATACAAGGGGCATTAGCTGTACGACCATGTTCTGATGTCCGGTCGTCCAATTTAACGCTTGGTGTACACAGAATAGTTGGGAATAGTTGATAACGTAGATTATATTTACCTGAGAAGACGTTGGATATGGATAACCAAGTGGATACGACATGTCAACGCGGCCACGATAATATCCCGATGAATTGGTGGAATCGCTTAAAAATAGGGTTACTTTCCAGCGCCACGCAAAGAACTATTAATCACTCCCTATCGTTAACTATGTCGAAGACGGACAGCGTGGATCAGGTAATCAAGCACCAGGACTGGGTTATAGCAGAGAAGAGTACACGGTAGTTTCAATGTAAGTCCAAGTCCCGGTCAGTGGTATGGAAGCACGCACGTTTAAGTGCAGCCAGGGTGCACTAATAAACAACCCGTTTATAGTGGGTCTCTTTCAAGAATGAGTAACTCTGTGTAATGCACAGTCGCTGTGTATGGGCCTTGGTTCCTATGAAAAGTAAAGAATGGGTCTAGTAACTACTATCTTATCAGCCTGGTGCTAGCTGCATGTAGCTGTGCTCCCGTAACAAGCATGCATACGTCACAGCGACACTTGCCTTGATGTGACAGTTCCGTTGGGCCTCGCCAATCGAATTAATTTATAACCAACTAAATGCATTGGTCGAATGCGCTAAAATGATTGACAGTCAACTCGACTGAATACTTAACATCCATTTAGGTAGCTCGGCGAGGTCGCCGCTGTGCGAACTCCTCCCACAAGTGGGCGGAGTGCACAGATGCCAGCCCACTATGGGTGTTGTTTTTCACATCACAAACTCGGCAGGCAGGCATAATGGACAATGATAAAGCACTGTTTTGGCAGGGAAGCTATGACCCCTTTGTAAGAGCGTACTCGGAAAAAATACAACACGTTAACGTAAGCTATATATGATTGTAAATTAACTGTTCGACTATGCAATAGGTTAGAGTCTAACGGGCGCGCTTTTCGTCTGGCAGCCAGGGAACATTATTTCGATCACTGACCATGGACCATGTTCCATATATCATCACGACCGTACACCACCATCTTGTCAGTGTTGTTGTTGGTAATACTATTCCAAGTTTACACCATACACAAACCAATGCCCTGAGGCAACTAACACCTATCTTTTTACACGTTTTCCTAAAGACAATTCATCATTTGGTCCAGTCGGTCTGTGGACATAGTCACATAGGCCGCAATTCTTTTTTTTCTGGATAGATCGCTCGGTTTTACACGCCTCGGAATATAGCTTAATTTACGATTCGCATATTGGACGGCAGATTAAATGAAAACAAATTCGCATGGGAGGCGGTTTGTTTCCACAAATCTCATTATAACTTTTGTCTTGGATCAAGCTAGCGTACACCATTCGAATTTTATTGTGGGAGGACAAACCTGCCGATGTGCCGAAACCCAACTCAATATCCAAGTCGAATTACGTCCAGACGCAAGCGTATCAGTAGCTGGCCACAAGTGTTATTTTATTGAAGTTTTAGTTTTCATGATCTTGCCTTGGGCGGGGGTTTATACCGTCCTTCACGGAGTTTTATAAATGCAATGCTAGTTACAAAAACAGCTGGTAGTGGCTCGTAACACGTACGCAATCGGAAAACTCAATTTCTCACTATTCTCTCCATGCAAACGTAAATATTGTGCCTTTCATTAGATTTTACAAACATAGATTTTTTAAACACAGAAACGGGGATAAACGAGTCTATAATTTTGAAGAAAGCTTGTAAAACTGTCTTGCTGGTATTGTTATTATTATTAAAGAGATGTTCCAAAACATGTAATTGTGGATAGTTGGTTACTTTCATGGATCTAATGTGGATATTCTATTTTTAAGAAAATAGTTACAATATGCGTATAATACATGGAAAGTAGACAGGAAACTGAATATGGTGCGGTAGGTAAAACATACAAGAGAAGCCTACAGAGTTACTTTCGGCAGCTCCCAGCACATGTATCGCGTCTTGGATAAGGTAAACACATAATAAACAATGTTTCGAACATTGCTACGTTACTTCGTGACCATTTGGCCTTAGGCTTCGTTACTTTCTCAGCAAACAGGAAACTGATCGCTAGAAAGTTTGGCACGTTGTATAGAAAAGGGCACAGAGAACGCCGACCCTTGCAGCTACACTCACCCGCCCACAGTGTGGACCACATCCCAAAGAACGAACCGGTGCGTTTCATCGCATTCAGTCCACCATGTGAAATTGAACAAAATAAACTTATGATATGCCATTCTCGACTTCGATTGAGTTTAGTGAGTGGGTCGGGAACTAATCGGGAGGTTTTTATAGCGATTTTATGACTGTACTTGACGCTCAATTAGGTGGATATGCACAGAAGTACGCTAGTTATCGCTCCATGCCCTGGGCGCGGATATTGATTGCATATTTCATAAGATGTGGGCTCATAGCTTACTGAGCAAATTAAAACCATACCCTTTGCTAAATGAAGGAATCTAATTAGGAGATGTATCAACTAGCTGGGAGGCTGAACTAAAAAGCAAAGCGCAACATGTAAGGGGTTGGGTGTTGTCAGGTACCAGCTGCCTCTCTCCTTGTGCTCCCCTGTATTAGTGCTGGGAAGCCCACTTATTGAAACGTGATGACATTACCATTCCCAAAACATGTATGTTATGCCATGGATTTCAGACTTCTGCACGGTATGTGCGTTTCGCTAATGCAAAATGACAGCGAAACAAGCATAATTGGAGTAAATGTATGTTCGTTCGATTACGGTGGCAGCCAGCGAGGCAGGCCATCGGACCGCCAAAGCAAACAGTCAATATATACCAGTAGGGTGGTGGCGATCGAGCAAGGGGCGGGGACGACCACATCTAGTCCATCTACTGTTTATACCAGACTCACTTGCAGTCATCTAAGTACTATGTCAGATAGAGCTCAGTACTTAACGTGTAAATGCATACATTGGCTATTCGAATTCCCTATTCAAGATGGTATCTGTTTTGAAAAGGTTCGCTACTCAATTTCATGCTAATATCGCGTGTGTTTTAAGTCGAATAATAGCCCCAGACTCCACGCCGCTTGCGAAAATACAAGAAGAGATAGACATACACATGCAATATAACAGCGTTCGAAGATGAAAAAACGAGATTGTAGCCCTCCATCAAAACTCCCTAACTACCGTTGCCATGACTTCCAAGAATCGTTTGGTGTGTGGATGTAGATTGGATGGTGTATTCCCGATTGGTAATGGACTTCAACTGGCGTTATCCCGGGCAGCACGTCACGGTGCGACCGATGATCGGTGTACTTGTTACCTCAGAAGTACTTCTCGTAAAACATGCCTAGACACATTAACTGTCATTCAATGCCATTTATAAATGTGTTTGACTTATTTGACAGTGTCTCAGCGCTTTTTTATGTGACGAGTTAATGGGGAAGCATATAGCAAAAGGTGCGAATAAAAAAGACACTGCTAACGACACGTAACAGATCATGGCACAAATTAAAGAGATTTTTAACATTACCCGGATGAGAACTACTTTCTCACTTCCCACGATCCATGCGCGCATCAGTGCGAGTATTAATAATAACTTGTATATATAAAATTCACAATTATTTACATTGAGGGAAAATGTTGTCTGCTTTTTTTTGGTGAAATTCTTCAGATATTTGGCTTGATGGTTGCGATGATTAGCAGCAGCCATACTTAGGACGCACCCAACGCCGAGTGATACGATCGTTCTGTTCTAACATATAAAGCAGTTTGTTGGTGTTTGAAGACTGTTTCTCCGTCGACCCCACATGTGTTACACCACTAAATGTTGCACCAACTCACACATATTGAGGCAACACTATGGCGATATATAACCAATATAACTCGGCAAATCGCGAGTTCCGGTCAAGACGAAACGCGGTCTATCTTCTAACGATTCGTGTTTTTACGTCTGATGTCGTTTTTATATTCGAAGTTTTATTTATACCCAGAATGCTTCATGGAATAAAGGGATGCCGCGACCGCGTACCACAAGAGAAACCATACAAAAAAGATAGTCGCCCGGTACCTTACATTTTTGTTAGATGTTCGGATTCCATTCAAACAGATCGCACTTTGGCGTGTTTCATTCTCAGTGTCCTAACTTACTGCTTTGAACTTAAGCCTATGTGTACAAATAACTGTCATCAGCAAGTGCAATCGTGTTTACCAATAGTTTACATAAACCCCGCTTTGCAGCGGAGAAGAAGAAAAATGTAAACAAGCAGAAAGAAAATATTTACATTAGTGTTTATCAGTAAAAAAAAAAGGCAATTAGTAGATCGGATCAACAAGTCAAGTCTTTATTTTCTCACAAGTCAAAATGTGTTACACACTTGTAGGTTGCGGGTCACACCACCATAACAGCGGAAGTTGCGAAGTGTTATGAACGTAGAGATCTCGCCCATGGGAAGAATACTGTGTATGTTATGTTTTAGTCTGTTAAGCACGACTTGACCTTTATGTGTAGTGACATGGTACTTCGTTTTTTTTTTATCTTGGTTCTTTCCTTTCAATCGAAAGATACATTTACTGGGGGGAATCCCTCAGTTCTGGATCCCGGTGACGGCGGCGGAATCGGCGTTGGTTTGATTTCTCCGTATCGTTTAGCGTTTTGATGCGAATAGATTACAAATTTACAAAGCCATTATTTTCGCTGTATGTTAACACATTCGACTACACAATCTAATTACTTTTTTTTAACTTTCCCTGTTTTGTTCCGAGATTGTCTGGAAACTTTTTTGTTTTGGTGATTATCACTGTAACACATTAACACCTAAACTATGGGTCTTAGCTTGTTGTTTACTTTATCCCAACGTACCGACTTCTTTTCACCAAGCCGACCGCTTTCTCTCCTAACCAATGCAGATAATACTGTCGGCGACCTCAGAAACTACGGTTATCCGATCAACCAACGACCACACGTGGTAACTGTATTAGTGAGTGCTTTCCTTATAATGGAGGAAAGATATCCGATAAAAAATTTAACCCGGAGCTTAGTGAATAGAGATGAGGTGGTACCACTGGGACCACACTGTTTTGTTACAGTGGAGACACATCTCTGTCTGCTATCTAAAGTCGTGCTCATGTCGGACTAATTAGGCAAGGGATTGGAACGCCGGATCCGTTACTGATTAGCATACCAAGAAAAAAACACAGCCTCCCCATTTCTAATTGGATTTTGCGTTTTTGTACAACCAACCAAGAGTTGTAAATAGTTGCGAAAAATCCGTAAATTCTACTATGTGTAATTGTATGAACATTTGTTCGGAAAAAATTAAGAATCAAAAAACATGCTGATATTTACGTGAACCAGTATGATTGAGAGTTTACCAATAATCCATTTATCGATTATAACCAATCCAACTTTCCTCTGCGCGCTCGCCGCACATTCCAACGCATTTGAAAAAAAAACGCGTGCTCCACAATGACCATGTCGCTACCAGCAAAAACGAAAATGAAAGAAAGAAAAGAGGGAAGCCCAGAGGCATATACAAACATGCAACATACGGACATACGCGT